GATAGTCAAGACGCGCCTCAAAGCTTTATCGTCGCCGAAGCATGCTTGATTTCTGACTGCAGCACTGCTTCTGTACAGTAACTAGCTTGACCTTTGATGGACATAGCTACTGTTGCTGGATAGAAACACACAGGAATTCAGAATTTGATCGAAGCGTAAGCTCGATGCTGGCCAGAAGTGTTTTGGACATCCTTGCGCATAAAGACATCCTCAGCAATAGGCCACCAGTGCCGTGTGTGGGTCGGAAATAAGTTCCCCAGCTCGTTTCCAGCTTCCACGCAACGTAAATGTAGTCGGCCCCATATGCTTTTTACCTGCAACTGCTTGCAAACGAAAGAAAGCACGCAAACTGTTTTTTGAGATTTAGGGGAAAGGCACAAGAAGCAAAAGACCCGAGGAATTTCTGGCAAGAAGCATCTGCGTGGAGGAGGAGAAGCTCGCGATATAGGATCTCCGCAAAGGACTGCTCGTAATAGATGCTGCGGGCTCTGAGGGCAAAAAACTTCACACCCAAGGATCTTTCATTGCAATAGATAGGTCCAGCAGCTGCGAATCACAACCGGGCATAGGGTCCACAGCATTCCGCTTTGCCAGCAAGAGGTGGGTCGACGTGTTGGCGGAGGTATGCCGCACTGTGGCGCAAGTATCCCAACTCGACTTTTCTACTAGCGCAAACAGCGTCGTGCAATGTCAGAATGATCTTGAGCCAGAACACGCATAGTGATTAATTATCTTTTTTGTGGTGCGGCCAAGATGGATCAAAAGTTTTTTTTTGCCTTCCTGGAAAGGTTCGGAAAGGGCAAAACACACAGGCTAGCTTTCCTTCGCGGCGCTTCCTATGCTATCTTCCACAGACTCTATAACGGAATTTCGTTCTTCCTCTACTGAATCCAAGGTGGCATCTGCAGAGAAGACGGCTCCTTCGTCATCAACCAGATATTGGGCCTCCGGAAGAAGGTCTTCGCCATCTGAGTTCCAGCCTCTGAGCACAGGAAACCAGTCTCATCGTCAGCAATCACTTGGCGCAAGCTGTGGATGCTGCCGCCAACAGGATCACGAGGATTGGAATCAGTCTTGAGCGCTTCCGACAAAAAAAGAAGACGGAGACATGGAATTCTGCTATATACTCTATACTCCATAAATCATTTATATATAGCATTAACATGCATTAACCCCCGATACGACAAGGTCAAACTACCAGCTGAAAGATGGGGATTGGCCGACCAATGAATTGCACCAGCCATTGGCCCAGGTTTTCTCATGGACAACGACATCCTCTTGGAAAACATGTCTGGGGGCGACCCATCATCCATAACCAATGGGACTGCCAATGGTAAAAGGACGTGTTAGTGAAGTGTTGAAAACATGGCATGCGGGGTCTGGTCATCCCACCGTCATTAGAAATTCCACGCCTGCTAATGGGTCGATGACTACAGTATCTTTTTTATGGGAAAATACAGCATGTAACTTGACCATAGCACGTCGTGGATTTGGTATCCCATTGCATCCCATCAAATACAGTATACGGGTATCCCAATTTTACCCCCGTATATATAATTTCCGGTAGTCAAACACGGGTAGGAACTAAATCGATTTAAATGAGATTCATGGAAAAACATGGTTGATTTCCGTTGCTAATTTCATTACTGGACGCAATAATTATTGTAATTTAATCAATTAGAATTCTTTCTCTCGCTCTCTCTCTCTCTCTCTCTTGCTCTGCATCGCCTTCGGACGTTCTATATATGCTCATGCTCTCTCTCTCTCTCTCTTTCTGTCTCTGTCTCTCCCTCTCTCACTCTCCCTCGAGTTTGTGGTGGATATTATATTCTACAATATTATATTATATTAAATATTATATTATATATTATATTATATTATATATTATATATTATATATTATACTATATTATATACATATATATATATATGCCCCAATATATATATATGCCCCAATATATATATATATGTATGCATACATAGTTGGATGGCGCTATACACGAACAAACATAACCGGCTTTTATTGCTGGAGGGTCAGGCCAAGCTAAACCATGCCATTTTGTTGCCGAAACTCATATTGTGGAGGGTAACTACAATCTGGCTGAATGCTAGTATTTCACTAACCTGAAAATAGCTGAAACTTGCGGCCAGCTACGGGGATGATTCCCCGAATCAATTCCCATCATTCTAGAATTCCGGTCAAGATGGGTTCAGTCATGATCAAATTCATCCAGATTATCTACACAGTATGAATCCTATATATCTTATGAATACGTACTAGATTAATTACTCGATTATTACGTATTAAGAACCCTACTTAGTTGGTTGCTGCTGCATCTATACACAATATATATATATATATATACATATGTATATTGGTATGCATAGATATATATACATATTAATAAATATATATCTATCTATATATTTATTTATTTATTAATATATATATATGTGTGTGTGTCAAATATATATATATATACTGTGTATATATATATATATCATATATGTATATATATTTATATCATAATTAGGTGGGTTCCTAAAATGATGGTACCCCAAGACAGCCCAAGACCATTAATTTTTTACTAATGATTTCATGTTGCATGATTTGCCCCCCTCTTTTAAGAACCCCCCAAATGGCCATGTGCTTCCCAGCAACTTCCTCTGTTCTTTGGCTCGCTTCTTCGCCTGCGCGTCCAACGGTCGCATCGGAACTTGCTGGACTCGGTCTCCGCCCAGCGCCTGGAAATTGTGCATGACAGAAAAAAAAAAACAAACGCGTTGTTTTGCTGCTCTTAATGTTCTTTTTTGGGGATTTTAGATTCTCAAAACTCAAAACCACCAGTGAGTGGATTAAATATGTTGTGAGTGGTTCAATCCACAATTTGCTGGCTACATCCACATAGCCATAGTTTTTTTGGCTGGTTCAACACCCCATAGTTCCCCTGCAACCTAGAATTTGCTAATGAAATTAGGCTTGTTAAAATACCCATGTTTGAAGGTGAAATCCCAACCTTTCGCTAGTGAAAGCATCATCAAGCCTAATTTGCGCCTAATTTGTGCAGCTCAAACGCCAAACTTTTAAATGCACATGCCACAGCGTTTCACTTTGGATCATCCCAGGCTCAATCTTTGATGCAAACTGAGTCATTGATGTCATTGATTCCAAACTGGGTCAAAAAGTTGGGGTAACCCCCAAAAAAAATGGACTGCTACTACTTCAAAATGACCAGAGATGACCAAAGATATGCGGTCCCAGCAACTCCCTGGTACCGTGAATACCAAAAATAGCCGGTAAATGGATGTTCCCCTGTACCCCAAATATATCCAACAATAGGTTGCCCAAATTCTGCTGAAAGGATCCTCTCCTTTGGCGATTTAGCAGTGTGCTTTTGTGTAGGTAAATCAACTCTCTCTCTCTCTCTCTCTGTCTCTGTCTCTCTCTTTCTTATTTTTTCAACTGTAACTATAGGCTAAAAACATCTAAAAACAACAACTCAACAAAGATGTGGTTGGGAAACTCAGTTCATAACTACAACTGCCTGCCCATGACTCATAGGGAATATCGGAATATCATGGATACCCACCCAGTGCTCCGACTTCCAATTTTCGGAGGGTTTGTTGGTTCAACGTTGGAGCATCCACCTCTTCCTCCATGCGTTGGCTCAAGCGTTCGATCCGCAGCAATAAATTCTGCAGCGCCGTCTGGTCGCGCTCCTCCTCCGCCGAGCGTGGCCCGCCCGCGCCTGGCACCTCGTTGAGGAGCACCTCCTTGTCCTCAGGGCGGAACCCTACTGGTTGGTTGGGAAGGGGATTCCCCACTAATATGGGTATAATATGGGTCTAATATGGTGTATTATAGTAGGAACTGTGACTATCGTAGAACTGGTTCTTGGATTTTATGATATATAGTCATCCATAATATTGGGTATAATATGGTATAATATGGTATAATCCCTTATCATCAACCAACAAGATCTATTGGGTATAATCCCCGTTTTTAACAATCAACCACAAAGGGGGTTTGAATACTGCTCAATCCAACGAGTTAAGCACCAGCTGATGACTCGCACATGTTAGGAAATGCTCGTTGAAGATCAATGAGGGTTTTCCACAACAAGAATCCTCACCTACTTTGCGGGAGTTTGGAAGCTACATGAAGCTACAACGGCTACAACTTTGCCTCTCTATCCAAACTTGGGCCCAGATATTGAAAGCTAATTCTGAAATGGGAGACTGCCAAAAAAACAATCACCCACTGGATTTCTGTATGTATTATGTGTTAGTTTCCATGATCATGTTTCTCCATGACAATTCTCCACCTTTTCCTATCCAAAGTTCTAAGAGTCCATGCATCATTCACCTAACATCACCAGTCCGCAACTGGTTAATCCACTGTGTTGATCTGCACCACCCCTCTCAATCCAATAAAACTAGAAGAACGGACTAACATATGTACTAACTTCAACCCAGTGAAATTTTAGAGGAATCGGTATATATATATATATATATAAATATACATGCTAAGTGTATATATAATTATCTATCTATCTATCTATCTGTCTGTGTGTATGTATGTATATATGAATATATTATATATATATTTATCAATTACATACCAACCAAAAGGGGAAAACCCAACACATCACCAAAATCTCACCCCCGAGTCGCCGCCCACCGAGTCGCCCCGAAGCCACGCGGGGCAAAGTCCGGCTCCAGCGGCCCCCAGGGCCCGGCTGGGCCCTGCGCCGGGAGGTGCTCCGCCAGGGCCTCGAAGAGCTGGGCCTCGGCGGTGGCCCAGTCATCATCGCCGTGGAGGGAATCCGCGCAGCTCCTAGGGACTGGGGTTTGGGGGGTTGGGGTGTGATGTGGTTTGGGGGAGTTGGGGATCTGGATGGATCTGGCAAATTTGGGAGTGTCAGTGCTTTTTTAGATGGTAACGGGTCAATATGCGAACAAAAACCAATGCTGGGAAACAAATCAGCAACATCATGACCCATCCGAAGGTGATATCTCAAGCGCAAAACTACTTGGATCAGATTCATGAAATACTTGGATGATCTTGGATGCGCATCCCATGAACGAGCTGGATCATGACCCATACATAAGTGGCGTGATGTCACGCTCACATGACTTGAAAGCTTTTGTCTTAGTAACCGGCAACTCTAGGCAATGTGCTCAACCTAAAGCCACAACTCTTCTGAAACGACTTGCAAGAAATGGGTGGTATAAATCCTCAAAAAAAGGAGGTTAAGCATAGGTAGTTTACCAGCTGCTAAGTGAGACACCTTCCAAATACCAAAAGGATATTCCCCTCAAGTGGACTTATCCAAAACTTAATGTGGCAAGCTCAATCCCAAAGACCATAGCCCAGTTAATCAATGACTTCCCACAAATGGTGCTAACTCCAAGTTGGCGCCAAGGCCACTAAAATGAAGGTTCATCATTAATCTTCCAAACGGCCGTCCAATCCCCATGTTCCAGTTCGAAAATCATCCCTTTCCCAGAATGATTAGATCCAAATACGCGACACCAGGATTTCCACAGTATGTCACAATTAGTTGCATGAATTAACATTAACGGAAGGGAACACACATAAGGGTTATGTATCTATATGTATATATATATATATACTTATTTATTTATGCACACTATATATATATATATAAGATCACCGTTTTAGGTTCGTAGGTATCTCAAAAATCCCCCATATACCCATCATTGTTGCTTCATGTCCCATGATACCACCAGTCTTGCTGCTTAAATCATCTTCAAATCCAAATCTTCATGGCAAACAATCACCTTCAACTACCCATCTCTCCCCATGTTTGGATCACAAAAAGAATCGGAGTCAAAATGCTCCCCCCATTTTTTCAGTGAAATCCCCATCTCCCAGCCTTTCCCCCGCCCTTGGCCCAGGCGCTGCGCCAGCTGCGGCAGCGCCGCCGCCAGCACCGGCAGCGCTTCGCTGTGCGCTGCCGGCGTGGCCCAGGCGCTGCGGAGGCGTCGGAGGCCCGAGCGCAGCTCGGAGGCGGCGGAGGACTTGGCACCTTATGTGGTTAATTATGGCTAACTAATGGCGAATAATATGTAATTATGGCTAGTAATTGTGTGGTTAATAATGGTTAGTAGCTAGCAATTATATGTAATTATATGTAATTATGGCTAAATCATGGTTTATAGCTTTTGTAACTAGTGGCGAATGATGGATAACTATGGCTAACGGGACTAATGGTAAACGGCTTTTAATGGTTAGAGTAATGGTCAATAGCTAACTAGTTACAGTAACTGGTACTAACATGGTTCATGTTAACTAGCTAGTAAATGGTTAATGTTAGTTCATGTTAGTACATTGGTCCTAATGTTGATGATTATAATGGTTCATGATGGTCAATAATGGTTAATATTAGCTAGCAATTAGTGGATTATAATGGTTGATACTAGTTAATAATGGCTAGTAAAATGGCCAATAATGATACAAGAATGGCTAACAATGATTTGTCCACAATCGCCTAGGACAAGACTCAGGTGGCTCAAAATTTCCCATGTCATGTCCTACAAGGCCCACCCGGTTATAGATGGGTTTTGGATCCCATGGAACTGTAGACATATCTGACATAAACCAAGTTACCCTCCGGTAATCAACATGGCTAGCTGGTAAATCCCGATCAAAATGAGCAAATGGGAAAAACATCCAACTAAATAAGGGATTTTCCAGCAAGCCACGTTTGACATGTTTCATTCTCAAAGGGTAACGTGCCAAACAAGTTCAGTTGGCCTAGTCACCCTTTGGTAAACTAACATAGCTATGGAAGCCATGGTCCATTTAGTTTCCAGTTCGCTGTGTTCATCCTACCAGAGGGTATATCCCATCTCATCCCCATTTTTGCTAGGTCTATATCCCGATAAGAGCCTATAGAAAGCCTATAGTGTATATATATCTCTCTCTCTCTCTCAAACCCTATAGATCCCTAGTCCCTAGTTATATACACTAAGTTATCAAACTACTCGTGGGGCCCTACACCAAAACCCTTATCAAACCCCATGAGACCTCCATTTTTTGCTGGTTAACCCCCAAAATTTTGCCCAGTTTACCTTGAACCCCCGGCCAAGGAGCTCTGCAGCGCTAGCAACTCTTGGCGCAACTCTTTATCTTCGGTTTCCCAGCGGGAGAGGAGCTGGTCGCTGCCCTTGTGAGATCGTGCACCATGAGATCAAGCCATGGCAAACCATTTTTCTCACAAGGGCATGAATGGGAAAATTCATGGGTATGAATGGTGCTGATATTAATGGATATGAATGGTGCTGGCATTGATGGATAATGAATGGTACTCATATTTTTTAATGGATTTATGGATATTTTCATGGTGCTAATATTGTTGGGTATATGGATATTACCCTCTGGTAAATTAACATAGCTATTGAAAATCACCATTTTAATAGGTAAAACATCTATTTCTATGCTCCATTTTCCATAGCAAACGGTTATATAATCCTCATGGTTCTGATGATTCATTCATGTGGTGAACCTCATAGGGGATCGTTAAATTGGAGATACTAATGAGAACATTGTAAAACATATGCGGCAATTGTGGGATGATAATGGATAATTATAGGGTAACTATAACGACCAATCCCAAGTTTGAGGTTTATGAAATTGGCTTTTCCCCCAAAAAAGAAATGGGATGATGTTTATGACCCCCTTTTCTGTTTGATTCATGGAATGGTGTATTATCGGGCCACATGAAATTGGCATATGCGGTATGGTCATCCATCCCATGGCCATTGCAGGGACCAGTGGGTTGGATGTACCATGATGTACCGATTGCATTTTTTTCAAGGCCTATGAATCGGCTCTTTTTTCGGAAATACCCTCAAACTATAGCCCAAACTATAGCCTTATATAGTACCCTCTGGTTATTTAACATAGCCATGGAAGCCAAGCCCCAATTATAGATGGTTTACCGGTTTACCTATTAAAAATGGTGATTTTCCATCGCTATGGCACAAATAACCAGATGGTATATACAGTACCTCCATTTCAGGGTCCTGAAATTCCCACTGTGATCCCCTCCCATTGGATTAGCATCATTCGTATATTCACCTCTATTCAGGGTAATGACATATGATGACCGTCCCCTTTGAAGAGCCATAGGCTACTCCTAACAGCGCTACTCCTAAAGGTTGCTATCCTTTCAAAAGAATATCAAAAATTCCAAAATGTGTTGTGTTAAAAAAAACTCAATTAAAAAAACTTAAAATCAATCCAACAATTCAAAAAGAAAATCGAAACCTCCAAAAAATGAAATAAACTAATCAAATCAAAAAAAAACAAAAAACAAAGAGTTCCAAGAAAATCCAAAAATGCTGAAAAGATTAAAAAAAACAAAAAGTTCCAAACAGTCCCAAAAATCCACCAAGCAAATCTACAAACTTCAAAAAAAACAAAACAAAAACAGAAAAACATGTTTAAATTAACAAAAAATATTTAAGTAATTCTTAAATAACCGAAAACGTATTAATGAAAAATAGTTGTTTGGAATGAAATATAAGGATTTGGAATGAAATTGAGCTATTTGGAATGAAATTGAATTGTTTGAAATTAAAATGAATGAACGTGAATGTTCTATAGGAGTGTCCCCCTGTGGGAAGCATGTTTTGACCATGATCAGGATCATTTCAAGGAGCTTGGTCACTTGAGATTTCCGAGAAAAATCAGGAAAAAATACATTAGTTCAGTTCTATATATATATATATTATTTGTTGCTTCGATTTGTTGGTTCGAGCCTAATGAAATCCCATATTTAATCTGGCTGATGTTCGAGCCATCCGTCCCACAATTATCCTCATCAATGGGAGTCGTCTTGCTACCTGGAGAATTACAGCGTAAAGAAAAAAATGTAAAACCACGCCGCTCGAATCAATTTCCGTGGGTCACGCGAAAGTCGATTCCCCAAACACAGAATGATCGAGGTCCTACTCATCGATTCTCACGTGGATTACCCCAGTCCGCGTGCAGCTAGTGTAGCCTCTAGAAATCTAAACTTGGCAATGGAAACCCCCATGAATTCATAACAAAATCACTGGCATGGAAACCATCTACAAATTTCAAACCTCCAAACAAAAATCACGGCAAAACATTATATAGTTATGTAATGTTATTATATATATATATATACAAATATGAAATTCCTTGAGCTCAGGCGAGTTTTGGCACATTTCCCGCACCTTGCACCCGGAGGAAGCTGAGGTGGACCAGCCCGACAAGCGCTCGGCCCGCTCCAGGTCGGTGTCCACATCGCGACCCGAGACGGAGGCAGCCGAGGCCGAAAGCCTCCGACCGCGAACGTGATTAATGCTTAGATAATAATAAACACCGATTTATACTGATATTATAGTTGATGAATAATCACTAATAGATGATTAATACTAATATCATGAGATAGTTGATGACTGATACTGATTAATAATGGTTACCCTCCAGTAAATTAACATGACCCTGCCATTTTTCAGGGTTGGAAGATTAGTTTCCACTCAAAATTAGTCATTTTCAGGGTCTATGTTAATTTACAGCAGAGTATATGATCTTTAGGTCAAGATAAGGTATTGGGATCTTAAGATCAGGATGTTTTTGATGTATCTTTGAATGACATGGAAATATTTTAGTCAATGGATCGGGGCTCTCGTTATCAATAAGCCGCTGGGAACTTGAGCCATCTCGATGGACTTAAATCAAATCTCAAATCCCACCAATTTCAATCCATTTCAAACAATATCCCAAATATGTTTCATGGAAATGTCCACAATATTTTTGATGGCGAAATCATGGTAATCCCTATCCATTAAAACCCTATATCATTTTATCATCATACAATGTTGTACATAAATCATATCGCTCGCCATGTTTGACTACCCATCGTAGCCATTGACTGTATACCCATTCTATCCCTCACATCATCCCCATCCCCTATTTTTGACGCGTAAATCCATGGTTATGACCCCAAAAAAATATAAGCCTTATATCACTGGTGAACTATCGGCCGTGGTTGGGGCCCACTCAATTCGTAGCTCCAACTGGCCCCCCCATTGGTTGAATCACCAGCCGAAACACGAAACAGCCCATAAAAAAGCCCGATACAGTATCATTGGTTTTACCCCACTCTTGTATTATTGGTTTCACCCCATTTAAGCCCTATATCATTGGTTTCACTTCATTCAAGCCCTATACCATAGGTGTCGACCCATTTAAGCACTCTATAGTTAGTTAATATTTGCTAAATCCGCCAGTATTGAAACATGGCTAGCTGGGAAATCTAGCCGAACTAAATTGAAAAGGAGTTTTCATGAGACAACCATTATTCAAGAACGACTGTAATCCTGAACTGTTTTTTATTGTGGGAAACCCAGCTATCAACCTATCATTTGGGGGGGTTGATACCACCAATAAAATTTCTATTTTTTGGGATAGTTTATCATTGGGCTTACTATAATTATGGTAGTTAACTAGTATACAACTACTCTCATGGATGATTATCTCTCTCTCTGTATCTGTATCCATGATTATGAGAATTACTATTGATAAGATCATGACCTATTAATAGATAATTGGGTTTTGAGTTATGATGGTAACATATCGTTAATCATAATTAATTATATATAGTTAATAGAACACAACAAAAAGCTGATCATTAACTGTTCACTGTGTTAACTAATCATAAAACTAAAGCTACTCTCTGGTAAACTAACATAGCTATAGAAAATCACTATTTCTGTTAGGTAAATCAACGAACTAGATGTGCCGTGTTCAATAGCCATGCAACAAATTAATCATCAACTTTACTAACCATCACTATTACTATCACTATTATCATGATACCATCATTACTATGACTATTATATACTACTAATCATTCTGGCTGTATATTATGATTACTATTGTATACTATTTTTACTATTACTATAATTACTAGTATATACCATCATTGTATACTACTATTAATGTACCATCATTATACTATTATTATATACCATCATTGCTATGACTATTATTATATACTATAACACCATGATTATATGAACTATATAATACCACCTATTATGAATACTACAGGAAGATACAATATATATACTACTATCATATACTACTATAAATACAAACATATACCATTCTTGTACTATTACTACTATTATTTACCATTATATTGCCATCATTCCTATGACTATTACATACTAATCTTGCTACTACTATCTACTATTACTATAACTACTCATATAATCTAATATATACTACCAATGCTACTATCATATACCATCATTATTCCAGAACCATTAATATATACCATTACTATTACTATATACATCTATATACCATCATGTTTAAATTTACTACTGCTATATACTACTACAATAAAATATCATGATACTACATATTACTACTATATTATTATTGCTACTATTTATGATTTATCATTATCATAATATCATTATTGCTACTACATATACCGTTACTATCCATTACTATAGTCAAATTTACAATTTTTACTACATATTACTACTATCGCTATAATTATTATTACTATCCGTTACTACAAATATACCAGGATTATCACGATTATTATTAGAAATTACTACTATATATACCATTTTCATTGATGGCAACGGCAAATCCTGCCACGGCACTCGCTGCTCCGCAACACATCGTCCAACTCCTCAGCCTCGGCCAAGCTCAGCACATAGCGCTCCGTGGCAAAGCGCTGTGCCAAGGCCAGGGCCTGGCGGGCCGCATATCTGGTGGGGATTTAAGGGGAATAAATGGGGATTTCATGGGATTCAAGGGGAATAAATAGGGATGGGATTTCAGAAAGTTTTTGTAGGTGATATACCTGGTTTCTGGGATAAGTAGGCTTAAATAAAAGTTTATAACTAGGGTGAACAAACTTACCAAGTGGGATGAGCCACCAAGTAGTCATTATTTGCCCATGTCATGTCATTACACGTCCGGCTGTATTGGAAAAGACCCGCTGTCGACACTTTTGATGGTCTAATAGATTAGCCATCTGTTATACCCCAAAATATCCAAAGTGCTTCCACGCCTTTTTTGCATTGGCTATTGCACTACCCCCTCCTCAAGTAATTATGTTGGTTGTACCTGTACCCCTATTCTTTGCTTGACCTTTCTACACCTTCATGGGTTCAATCTCATATTTCAGTCATTTTTCAAGGTTCTTGCCACAAGTATCTGAAAGCCCCATTCTACGGATCATATCTCCATGATTTGTCGATGAAACTTCTGCTACATGTTATATGTTGTACATTGTTGTACCATGGACGGAGGACGACGGAGGTTTGGTGCCAGTTCTAACGCCGAATTTCAAGGGTCTCGCGTCCCTTTCACTCAGGTGTATACCAAGAAAGTGGAACGTTTCCTTGAAATTATTTGTTTTCATGGTGGTTTTGGTTTCCATGAGCAATCTTCCCCTTCATTATGATTGGTACCAT